GTTGTGTCGTACAAAAATCAAACAAAAAACCCCAACTGCAACAGTAATGGTTGAATATTGAGAATATTGAGAATATTTGAGTAACAAAATATTTGAAATATGCCATCTGAATTTTGTCTCCCATTGCTCCCTGTGCTTCTAGACACCCACTCCTTCAAAATTACCTGCACACCAACTCTTTCCACTTTTCTCACAAAAAATGCATCCACTACCCACAAAAGATTTTGAGAGGGAAAAAATGGCAAAAAAATGGTTAAACCCCTCTATGCTAATTTTTGCAGCTTTTATTTCGGAATGATTCCAAGGGTTTTTTGCTGGACCCAAGCTGTTGCGAAAATATCTGGGAATTCCTCCAGGTCCTCCCGTATTTCTGGTAATTTTGGATACCACTGCCAAGGTTTTAGTATTTGTTGTTATTTTTGAGGCAAGAACTTGGAGATTTGGGGACTTCCCAAGACAGGGAGGGAGAGTCTGGATATCCTGCTCCCACGGAGGTAAATGAGAAGGAATTGAGAGTCCCCACCCCACAGCCTGGGTGGCCGAGAATCCAGGTGGGAACAGGGCAGAAAAATGGAAAAAGATGTGGGGAGGGAGTGAGGGGTGATTGAGCATCAAATGGGGGGATGGGAGGGAGGGGCGTGTGTGGCACAGTGCCCCAAATATCGGGGTCACAGTGCCCTGAACTTTGGGGTTACAGTGCCCTCAAATTTGGGGCTCATATTGCCCCACATTTTCAGGTCTCATTGCCCCAAACTTTGGGGTCACACTGCTCCATAATTTGGGGTCAAAATGTCCCACATTTGGGGGTCACGATGCACCACACTTGGGGGCTGTGGTGCCCAGCCCATGATGTCCTAAAATTTGGGGTTAAGGTGCCCCCACTTAGGGGTCACAGTGCACCACACTGTGGGGTATCAACGGCCCAGACTTATGGGTCACAGCACCCCACACTTTTGGGTCACATTTCTCCACACCTGGGGGTCAAAAGAATCAAAATTTGGGGGCCACAATGTCCCACACTTCGAGGTCACATTGCCCCACACTTTGGGATCAAAATGCACCACATCTGGGAGTCATGGTGCCCTACACTTGGGGGTCACAGTGCCCCATATTTAGGGGTAACAACACCCCACGTTTATTGTCACATTTTCCCCTATTTTGGGGTCATGGTGCACCACACTTTGGGGTCAGAAAGCCCTACACTTTGGGGTCACATTGCCCCATTTTTTGGGGTGAAAATGTCCCTCACTTTGGGGGTGACAGTACCCAACATTTAAGGACTGCAGTGCCTCCCACTTTGGGTACAAAATGCCACACTTTGGGTGCAAAATGCCCCCACACATTTTGGGGTCAGAATGTCCCTTAGGGGTCACAGTGCCACTCTCTTGATCCCACACTTTGCTGTCAAAACTCCCCACAGTGGGACTCACGGTGTGCCACACTTTGGGGGGTCAAATACCCCTCACTTTGGGGTAACAGGGACATATTGGGGTCTCAATATCTCACACTTTGGGGTCACAGTGCCCCACATTGTGGGGTAAAAACACCCCACACTTGGAGGGTTACATTGACCCACATTCAGGGTGATGGTCCCCCAGTTTTATAAATCAGCAAATGAAACTCAAATTCACAGTCCAAAAAAAAGGCTTTAAATGAGTTTATTGACTGTTGTATCGAAACCAGCCCTTGGCAATAAAATTTTTATACTGGAAAATTTTTTATATTGGAAAAAACACGTGGACTTAGAGGTCTTTTTGACCTGAATTTGATATTTTTGGGTTCCAGGGGGTGGATGGTAAATCAGGGCATCAGGATGTACACAGAGTTAATCCATTTGGGGAAACATCCAGGAAAATTTCATGGATTTGATGCAAAATCCAGAATTTTCCCAAATTTGAGGGAGTTTGAGGTGGATCCATCTATTGGACGGGATAGATGGGAGCATCAACTTCCTGACGGGTCTGGTGGGAGATGTGGCTGCAAGAGAGAGAAACACATCATTTTGGGTGGAAATGGGTCGGTTTTGGTAAAAATAGGGAAGCATTATGCAAAATGGGTTGTTGATATGCAAACAGAGGGTCATTTTTATGCAAAACTGGGTCAGCATTATGAATAATGGCCTGATTTTTGGGGAAAATGGCTATTTTTGGGGCAAAAATGTTATTTATGATACAAAATGGCTCATTGTTGGGAAAAATGTCTCATCACTGGGAAAAAAAATGCCCCTTACAATCCAAGATGTCTCATTTTCTCAGCAAAGCGGTAGCTTACCTGGCTCGTTCCCACAGGATTCTTCCTCAGTCACTGTGGATGAAACCAAAGAAACTGGAAAATTCCTTCCAGGATCTGCCCAGCTCCTCCCCCACCAACATATTTGCCAAATTTC